AGCTTCGTTATCAATGAGAATAAAACTAAATACCTAGTAATGACTAAACATATGGCAAATACAGCAGCTCTAAAAGTAGGTCCCCACATCTCTGAGCAAGTAGATGAGTTTAAATACCTAGGAGTCAATATTAATACAACAAATAATATGCATAAGGAAATTCAGTTAAGAATAAGTAATGCAAACAAAGCGTATTTTGACATGAATAGGATGTTCAGCTCCAGACTATTACCAAAAGCTACAAAAGAGAAACTGTACACCTTCTACCTCAGACCGATAGTAATGTACGCATGCGACATGGTCCACAACACAGGGGGATGAAGAGAAATTACTCACCTTCGAAAAAAATGTTTTACGGAAAATTTACGGACCTGTTCGAAATCAAAATGGGAAGTATGAAAGACGAAAGAACGATGAACGAAAAAGGTTATATAACAAACCAAATATCGGATTGTTCTTAAAAGCGAAACGATTAGAGTGGGCTGGCAATGTCTGGCGGGCTGGTGAAAATATCATACGAAATGTCTTAATCGGAAACCTAAAAAAAAACGACCAAGGGGAAGACCTCGCCAGCGGTGGTTAGACAGAGTTAAGAAAGATATTTCAGATACCGACGAGACAAAGCGATTGGAGGATACAATGGATCAAACTGTATGGCGAAGTTTTGTTGAAGTGTGCAAAAGGCATTAATGGCCTGTATAGCATAAAAAAAAATGTACCTGTTTTTGATGTGATGAGTCTATTCAGTGATGTTTCAGAAATTTTATTTTTATATTTCACTCATACAATTTTTTTTTATTTTGTCGAAAAATAAACTTGACAACACTTTAGTGTAACTGTTTCTTTATTATTTGAGCTGCTTTTCGTTGACTATATTCATCTGTTCGATTTTTAAACAAACATAAAAATCATAAATAATAAAGAAGTTTTTTACACATGAACATGTTCGTTATCAACATATCATAAGTAATTTAAATGATTTTACTGTCTTTTTTTAAATTTTCTTCATGCATTTTTATTATTATTATTATATTTTAACTATCAACATTAAAAACCTACAAAAATAACTGAAAATGGCATAGTTAAAATTATTTTTTGTAATTATCGAAACTCCCTGTAATATCCATTCCATCTGAATAATTTTATTATTTATATATTATTATCATTATATATCTATTGTCATTTTTTTAACTATGATATATTATTGTATCATAATTAAAAGAATGTCAACCATTTAATCACTATACATAGCACAATAACGGTCACAAGAATACTTGTGCGGAACAATAATTCTCACCACATATTCTAATGAAGACAAATATTCGACACGCGTTATGCTGACAATATATAGATGTGTTGTATTATTATATTCGTGCGTGTGATGCTATAAATGTATTTCATAGTGTAATTAATAACGACCAAACTTCCGTATGTAAAATATATTGTGAATTTAGAATTTTCGACGACGTTATGTGTTTGTGGAAAATACGTGACCCGAAAACACGATACTAATTCAAATGAAACGTGACCGAGCACAAAGAAACTGTACCCGTGTACCACTATCTAGCGAAGCTCGTAATATAGGCTATATTAATATATATTGGTTATATTACTTATTACTCTTCGTGATGTGAAGTGATGGGCACTGCATGTGATGGACACTCCTATACGGCATCGGATATGACGTGTACGTTACAGATTAGTATTTCATGAATTGCTCAAATTTATTTGAAATTAATACACTCTACGTGTTCGTATAATTCATTCTACGATTTATTTTAAAATCCACATAAAAAAATTGTTTAACATCAGAGCACGTCTCCGAAGATTATAAGTACCTTAGTGCTTTCAATACTTCTTTGCTGGTTGCTTTCATATTTTTTAAAGCATCCATTTATTAACATTGTATATTTGTATTATAATAGTACTATAAATTTCTGAAAAACGTAACTTTTTTTCTGTAAACAGTATTTCGAAATTCAAATTTATACCAAAAGTATCATATTCCATATTTTTGTGTATTAAACTCAAAAAATACTTTTTGTACTAGGTATTTCTATATTTTTTCAATATTTTTTTCAATATAAACCGAAAAATTAAAAAAATCTTATCAATATTATACGTGAATTTTATAAAATTCAAAGTTAAGATTAGTTAATAAGGGTAAGAACAAATTGATCAAACATTAATATGTTAAATGTTTTATGATTACGTATTATATCGAAAACAAAAAATCAAATGGGATTTATTTATTTATAATATTATAAAGTAATCACTAGCTCATAAAAACATATGTACACTGAAATAATATTATATTTCAAATAAATAAAATTAATTATGGATTCCTTTTACTTGAATAAGTAATAAAGCACTTAGAATTTTTAAACCGATTTCTTACAAATAATCAATTTTTAATACGATTAAAATAATAAATTCAATGTTCAAATAAAATATTCTTAGAATATCCATTAACATTTAAAACATTTGTGAATCATAAAATATCGAATAATTATTTCTGTTTCGATTAATTATCGGATGATTTTAGTAAATTTAACTTTTAATCGTTTTACAGAGAAATAAAAAATAAAACATTGAGATGAAAAAAACTGTGTACAACATCTGGTGTAATATTTCGCTGCAATAAATTTTTTTTACTCATTCCCTATATTTTTTTTTAAAAATATATAATGACATTCATGTTTAAAGCGAATATAAAATGTAAATTAAAATCTATACATTTTTTATCATTTCAAAGTGAACGACATAAATATACATAAAGAACACCGATAAATAAGAATATAACATTAGTTTTTGAAATGTCAGTATACTATGAATATAAAGATTAAATATATAATCTAAACTAAAAAAAAATATTGTTTGTATTAATTAACTGTATAAACTTTGAATGAAATCTATATCATTTTGTGTTTAATCATATTTTATCTAAATACGTGATTTAATTTTAAATGTATATAGTAATGGTTATAAAATGCTTCAAATATGTTTATTTGAGTTGTTATTGACAGTTCCAAAACTAATGACAGCTACTGACGATACACCATGTAAGATAACATTTTATCTACATAAAAATAACATATAATTATTATTTTTATATTTACCTATCACTTTTAGGTAGTAATAGTTGGTAGGAAGTACTTTTATGGCGTTATTTTACTAAACTATTAAATGTAAATGTATATAATTAAATTCATAGTATTGTTTTATTTGAGAATGAATAATAAAAACACAATAATAATTATTATTTTGGAAATCTTCAAAATTCTATTTATGTGATAACAACACTACAAACACTAACAATTATACTGTAAGCAGTCGGATTGACATTATTTGACTTTCACACACTTGAATTATATCGGCCCCATTTTTCGATTGTATTGCTACAAACAATACTTATAAAATTCTTACAAATACACGTCAAGGATATCTTATGAAAAAATCTTTACTTAAAGTGATGTGGTACTACACAGTTTTTATGATGACCTAGTTTTTACTTTTTTAATCAGATTCCTCATTACATTTTATTTTTATTAGTTATTTGATGATAGTAACGGCAATTGCTTCTGATAATAGCCAGTATTTTTTTTTAATCATCGTACTGTATTTATAATTTGAATTTATCTGTTTTTTTTTTAGATCTATTATAACTCGTTTTAGAAAAATTTTTAAAAAATAATAATAATTAATATTCTGTCTTGATATAATTATAGTAAATTCCTCTACTTAAAATATTTTTGATACTATAACTTTGGATGTGAAGTAAATTATTTAACTGCATATTTGTCTGCTAGTGATCAATTAAAATATGTAGCGAGTCCAAAATCTAGGACACTGTTATAAAAAATAATGCTGTTGAAATTTTATAATCAGAAACGTAGACTAAACGCAATTGATATCCATATTCAGGGATGAATATATTTTTACTCGTTATCCGATAGTGCTACCTTTGATTTTCAAGAGCGCAATATATTAAAAACTTTACTTTTTGTCCATAATTACGACTTATAAATTAAAATGATGAAGATTCTGAAAACAGAATCAATGTCGGCTTGAAGTCTACATGTAGAGATCAGGCTTAAGTTTTGTGAATATTATATTTTTTTTAACAAGCAAACGTTTAGTATATTTTAAAATTTAATAGTTTTCAGGTTAAATGTATATAAGTTGTAGGTGTAAATTTAATAAAACGCCCAGATCGATCGCGAAGTGTACCTCGTAACGAATCAAAATGTGTTTTCAGAACCCGCATAACTTCAATACATCAACCATAACGATAGATGAACTGTGGGTAGTTTTTACTACGTTTTAAGACGAATGCATATCGGTATCGCATCCTTTTTGGGGGAAAAAAAATATATATATAAACAAAAATCAACTTATTCCAGTGAGTCACATCGTGCAGATAAAATATATCGATCGATTCGGGTAAAAATACGTTTTATTATGCATTATTGTTACGCGATGGTATTATACTATGTACAATTATGGTTCGTCTGATATCATTCCAACAATCGGCCGATCGTCGTCATGACGGTTTTCGCACTTGGGATCCGGCCAACGGGATGTTAGTTCGGAAAAATCCGATTCAACGATCACCGCAGTATTATTCACACGTCGTTACATCCGCGGCGCGCGTTATTAGAAAACGAACATTCGGGCCGAGAACAATCACGCGCCATAACGAATGTGTGTACTTTTACCGCCCTCTGCCCAAGGTTTAACGACATAATAATATCAATGGCCGACGCGTCATCGTGTATGATGCGCCCCGCAACAACGCGTGTGGCGCTAATAGACGGTTATTCGATTTTACCCTTTTGGCTTCACAAACACACACACACGCGCGCACAAACACACACACGCGCACACACACGCGCGCACGCTCACATACACCCACATGTGTATCTATTGACATGTATGTATGTACACGAGAATACCTATATAATATGTATACATACGCGTGATACGAACAACCGAAGTGAGTGTTGTGTTTTTTTCCCCATTTAGTTACCTTAGTGCCCATCGTCATTACGTACGCTTATTTTTTTCAATCATAAGCGCGTTTCGTCCGAGCACTCGTTTGAAGATATATAAAAAAAAAAAAAAAGACAAAAGCCGTACGTTCGATGTGATAATTGAAGCTACGACCGTTCAACCCCACGACAATTTTCGAATAAACAGTATATACATTCAAGTAATACTATGACTTGATGGCAGGTAAAATGAAAGTCAATTCGAAATCTAGCGATGAGTAAGTTTATAATATTACTATCGTATTAAAATATTATATTACAGGCGTTTATTCACATAAATTTTATCACACTAAGATAAATCTCACTAAGACAAAAGATCAGATACTTTATTTTTCATTAACAAAAAATTATCAATTTTTGTAAATTTTTAATTTTTAGTACATTTTGAATAGATGATGTTTTCAACTTTATTAAGGTTTTGTTATGTTTCATTTGTATTGCCAAAAGATGAAATTAATCATCTTAGTTCGAATACAGAATCAAGTGCATTTGTAACGGGGAGAACTGGTGTTGTATCATCCTCTTCTTCCTCAATAGTACTGACATCAGCAGATGAAATTTTATCAGTACCAATCTGATCAAAACTTCTATATGTTTTCTAGCTACTCGTAACGATATCATCATCAATTTCTGCATACCCAGGAAACTTCTAAATCTTGAAAATCATCATTGATTTGATATTGTGATTATTTATTTTATACTACATAACATCATTGACATAAAGCGCCTTATCCGGAAATAGAAAACGTATTATCCAAAGTCATTTACATGTCAACCGTTTTCAAAATGAAGGGACTCGTGAAAATGAGCGAGAGCGTCATTTCATCAAAACCGATTCTACTGTAATTGGTTTGCAGAACGATTTATTTTGTAACCGTGTTCTATTTAGATAAAGTATTAATTCATAAAATCAATAAGGACGTGTGTGAAAACAAGTGTGTCACATATATCGTTTATTCTAAAAGTAATTTTCAAATATATTTTTTTGAATTCGTAAGTTTAAACTCAAATTTATTTTAAAAATTACTCCACAATAACTAACTAACAGTTATTAGTAAATTTTATCTTAACTATATTTCCCGAATATATTTTGATAATTTGAAGTTACTACAAGTCTGTTATCTTAACGGCTATATTATTCAAATTTACTATAACACAAAACGCCTCACGAGGATAACTCTATACTTCAAACGGTGAACCATTGTAAAGATTACATTAAATCATGTTAAGAACAATAGTTATATACATATCATAAATCTATTAAGCAAAACATAAATAACTCGTTACACAGAGTATGTACGTACTTCAAATTCAAAATATAATTGCTGTGATACTATTTTATGAGTTCTTAAAATACTAAACAATAAAGTTATTCCTACAACATAATTGTTACATTTCATTGAAGTAGAGGTTATTCCGATATTGTGAATTTAGTTTATGCATACTTCATTGTTTTTTGTTGTTTTTTGTTACGTTGAGCCGATTATGGTTAAAAATGTGTTATAATATTTTAGTTACGGTAAAATGATTATAAATTATTTCTCATTTAATTTCGATGGTAATTAAATTTAAATACAGAAATTTAACAATTAAAATTATTCAAATCTATATAATAAGTGTAAAATGGTGTATACAGGTATATTTTCATACTAATTCTGTTGTATTATCTTATAAAAATTGGTGAAGGATTGATTCAGTCGAACTCCATATTTTTATGAAAGATTTCCAATCCAGTCATGGACTTAAATTATAATAATTTCAGCTCGACCTGTTTCTAAAATGTAAAAAAATACCGGATCGGTTTGAATCAGTTGGACCTAGCTCGTTTAAATCCATTAAGCAATAGTTTTAAAGTATAAATACTATATTTATAGAATTAATAACAAAAATAATATTATGGGAATCAATATTTTTTCCCTGTGCTACTTTTTTGAGTACTTTGTAGGTATAATCATACATCTAAGAGCTATTCATGGTATCTATTAATAATTATTATTAAAAATATTTTTAAAATAACGGTTGCAATTATTCTCGTTATGGTGCAGATGACATGGAAGGGCTTTTGTGTACAGCTGTCACGTAGCACTATTCAGTAGATTTGTATTTATGTCCAGTGTAGTATATACTTTTCTGTGTAATGCATATTATCAGTTTTGTAAAGTTTTTTAATAATCTATAAACAGTTTAAATAACTAATTATGTGATATAATTCAAAACTTTCACAATTCGATTTTTTTTTAGTTCAAACCGTTTATCAGTTTCATCACTCTAACAATCCCTCATATAGCAACTGAATGCCTGATCCATGTATTCAAAGACACTGTAAATGATATTTATACAGCTAATAGGGATGTATTCGATTGGATACGAAATCTGTGTATTAATATACATATATAATTATGAAATTCTACAATGGAAAATGGAATAAAAAGTAAAAAAAATACTTTGATAATATTTTAACTGTCTTTTATGTTGACCAAATAATTTTTTTTTTTTGTATTTAAATTATCAATATTATTATTTAACCTAAGTTATATTTATTTCATGAAACCTTTTTCAATAAAATATATTTTACAGACACATACTCATTATTATGCTTGATTTAAATAATGAATTTTGACTACACACACCTAAAATTGAAATAAACTCTTTGTTAAAAGTTTGAGAAATATTGCAATATTGATGGATATAATTGAAATTTAAAAATTAATTTTTTTTTTTTTTTTTTGTAAAATAAGATAAATAATGATGTCAAATAATCACAAGGTAATTAAAAATATTATACTGTCAAGCCCGTTACTTTATTACTTTCAATTTTGTTAACTCGGGAAAATATCGTATATTAGTAATGCACAATTTTTTTTCATGAAATCGTATAAAATATCACAAAAACGTTCAATAAAATATTAGTGTGTATAAATGTTTTAGTTAACATTTCTAATATTCCAACTTTAAATATTAATTAACTTTCCTTGTTTGATTGAGTGATGTGTATTTTAAAACATGATGCAATTTTCTTTATTTATTTAGAATATTTTAAATCGATAAAAGAGTGTTCTTTTATAAATATATTGTTTTGTAAAAAAATAATATAAATAAAAAAAAAAAATTAAATGCAAACAATTTTTTTCAACACTTATTATTCAAAACCTTTAAATTATAAAGCTTGGCGATCAAATACTAATTTGATAATTACAAATTATTTCTGAAAAATTAATCAAATAATTATAATCTGAATTAACTTGATATACTGGAATGTTAATCAAATAATTTAACTTCTAATGATTAAATAACAGTCGATAAAATACAACAGTAAAATAATGTTACTTGGTACAAGAAGGAAAAATGTCTCATTTTGAGGTAATTAAGATTATTGAACCAATTTTATTTTAATTAAACACAAAATGAGCTTTACAATACAATGATTTGCAAATTAGTAAATTATTCACACAGAGGAATTTTCAATGTTATAAATAAATAAACCTTTATAACTATAGATATCAGTTTCGTTTGTGATGTTGTTCAAGGCGAAAACTTCATCTTAACTAACAACCATAACTAATTTTAGTATTATTTTTCAATGAACATGAACTTACTACTTCAAAAGTAATAAAAAGTGTTGCAAGTTCGATAAAAATAATCTATTTTTTCTTTTTTAATGGACAGTATTTGTATAACTCAAGAAATATCTTAGTTTCAAACCGTATTGAGTTACTACAAGAATATCACTAATATTACCTATTAAATTTATTATCTCAATATAATGCGATTCTTTTTTGTTTTTCCGGTAGTAGTCTGAGTAATGAATGGTATTGTTTTAAAAGATGGTGCATTTTTATCGTGTAACAAGTTTGTTGATGAAAATATTAATTTTTCATTAAACTACATCAACTACTAAAAGTTATCGGTATTCGTTTGATGGACGACTAATTCTAATGTGAAAATAAATTTAAAACAAAAAGCATAATTTTATCAGTTTTAAAAGAATATTTGAAAATATATTCATACACTATTGTATAATTTTCCATAAAAAGAAAACGCAAACGAATTCATTCAAATACATTGTAAAAAAAGAACATTTTAACGTTTTAAATTTGAAGTGTATTTTATAGGAAAAAAATGGATTATTATTCCTATTTTTAAATATTATAAATGAAATATATTTTATTAAATTCTGAATTGCTCTCAATTACAATTTAAAAAGATTTGTAGCAAATAATACCACTACATTTTTCTAATAAATTACAATTTTTCAACCATATTTATACTCAAACCTCGTATATTAGATCAACAATAATAAATTACAAACATTAGTGTTCATTACGTCAAAATCAATAAGCACAACAAACTATTAATCATAATAAGTTCATTAGCATAGAATACGAAAATATTTATGTGTGTGAAGGTAAGCCGACAGCACTCAAGTAATATTTTCAGAAATAATAATGAAATGGCATAAGGTCTTCAAACTATTAATTATATTATATTCATATAATATAGTAGCATTAACAAACTATAAATAACTAAAATAAATTTGCATTGTCGTTGAACACAGATGATAGAAATCTAATGTAATGTCATGAATCCTTGAATAAACAGCTAATACAAATCTAACACAATGTTGTTTTCTATTTCAGTTCTATTTCGTCCTTAAACGAATCTACCGGGTCATTAAATAGATCGTACAACGATATTTCAGAACAAGAAAATGGTATCTACGTTGTAGTGAGGTGCGTCTACTGAACTCAATATATTTAATCATATACTCGTCGCTTAAGTAAAAATCTGTAAGTTGGTATTTTTCATTATTTTAATTAGATGTCGGCCTCTCAGCATCAAAGAAAACAAAGCAATTGAACCATCGATTATATCTTTTCCGGGAAATGGACGTATTTTGGTGTGTAATATAAGTATACATTATTACATATGATCATAAATGTTAACATTAAATATCATAGACTACTAAAGCTATAATATAACTTAAATATGTTTAATTCCTACCGATATATTATGTTCGAGATAAATTCATAATATACAATTATAATTTCAACCTGATGAGACGTCATAATATTTAAAATACGATTTCAAAAATTCATAAGAACCTATGTTGGACAAATTATTGTATGTTGTTAATATATAAAATGACCAGTTGGTCCGGTGAACACGTGCAATATACTTATATCTAGGTAATGAGTTACGGGCAGTAACTTGTAAATTGAAAATTGTAAATTTATGAAAACAACTTAAAATTCTTATGGCTCAATGATAATTTTATTTAAAAATAAGGATCTGTGACATTTAATTTAAATTTAACAAATTAATAATAAAATGTATAAATAAATAATTCAATTATTTCTGAAAAAAATTCATGAAAAACATGCAGACAAAATATAATATTATCTCATGATTTTTTAAAACGATAAAAAATATATTAACAGAATTCATTTAACTACATCAAGATAAATCAAACACTTTAGAAAAATTTAAAATACCCTTATTTTATTTCAATAAATAATGCACTTTTTGTATACTAAAATTTAAAAAAGGTTGTTCGAACTAACTGAATACAATATCAATAACGCAATACAAGAGATTAATTTTAAATTAACAGTTGATATGAATAAATTTTATATTATTCTGGTTATAATTTAATAGTATTTTTATATCTATATACATTCACTTGAATCCGGCCGCTACAATAAGAATTATTCTGACGATTTATTTTCTCAGTGAAACATTTATTGTTTATTATATCATTTTCAATCAGACGTGGATTTTTTTTTTTAAAAATATTTCACAAAAGAGGTGCATAATATCAAAATAATTGAAAAAAGAATTTCTCATTCGTTAAAATATAATGTTATAATACCTATGTAATAAGGTAACGGTACTTATTTCAGAATTTGGGGGAGGAGCTCAAAAAATGATTTTAATTTAGATTCGACTCCATCAATTATGATGTTATTACTCATTGCTAATTATAGCATAAAAATTCATAACAATAATTAGTACTCTTAACATATTTTTTGTTTATTATTTATTTAAGTTTCATTAGATAATCATAAATGATAAATATTCATTTTAAATGTATTAATATGTTAATAAAGTATTATGTGCTAATTAATACAAAACTACGATCTTGTTTTATTGTAAAATTAACCAAATCAGACACGGCGTATTGGGTATGCAATTTTATAGCTTCTGTGCGCACAATGTTTTTATAGTAACTATAACTGTTATAGTATAACTATTATACTAATCTTTTACCCGGTTGCACCAAATTTATGAGTCCGTAAATTATTTTTTTTGTACTGTTAAATATTTATCTAATGATAAACTAACGTTTGTTAAATTCACACGTGTTACATTTAAATTTGTTTCCCAATCATTGTTTTATATTATTAATACATATATATTAATAATACATAAAAATATTTTAAATATATTTATTATTAAATTAATAAATAATGAAAGATTATTATGTTGAAAAAAATGTATGTACTATATATTTTATTTAGTTTTTGCACGATTAACTTTAATTTCTTTATTTCATTATATTTTTCATTTATTTAAGTACAATATTATATATAATTTATTTAAAATAAATCAATATTTAATTTGCATTTAATAATTCATGTTAAGGTAATTTTGATATTATATTTTAAGTTTTGATTTTATACGTATATCTTAATGTTTGTCAATGGATTAATGTATGTAAATCTAAATATAAAAAATTAATACAATAAATATGTATGTATAATTATTTGGCATTTTAGATAGAAGGATTTAATTCAATCGGTGGATCCAATGGGCCCAAGTCAAAACTGTTCTCTTATAATGTGGTTTTTGAGCCCGCAGCTACTCAAGAAGATGTTTTCCAATATTCAGGTATCAAAAAACTCATTGAAATGGCTGCTGAAGGTTTTAATACCACGTGCTTCTGTTATGGACAAACCGGCAGTGGTAAAACTCATACATTGACAGGACCACCAGGAATGGTGAGTTATTTAATTCAAGATAATTGGTTTAATGTTCAAATAGTATTTTTTGTTGAAATAATTTTTTCCTCTAAATGAGATAAATAATTTCATATAATTAAATATAAATGTTTTCGATGATTGTTTTATAACAAAAATATCAATTAGCTCATGATTAAAAAAACAATTAGAATCATGAAATCAAACATGGATGACATCGAAAACAATAAAATTAATGGAAATAAATAAAAATTTGTAATATGCGATAACAATAATTAAATTTAATTAAAAATTAATTAACCCAATCCATATTATAAATTGGTTAATCAAATAATTATACTTTTCAAAAAAACTTTTCGATTAGATTTTTTCTGTAATTGATATAGTAAATTAAGAATTGTAAAAATATGTAAATCTTTTCGTTATGATTTGTTGTTGAATTGTGGATTTACCATAATATTTTTTAACTGATGAATTCATTAAGCTAAAAATGCAATCTGCGAAATTCATTCATGTGTAAAATAATCATGAGCCTTGACTCAGTCAGAGTGTTAAAAAAATTATTTTCACTTACTCTGCAAAAGTATATTTTGTTGACTCCCATAAAACCCCTATAAACTAAAACAATGTCAACAAAAAAATCATGGTATTACAATTATATATATATATATATATATATGTATATACCAGGTAATATTTCTTCGTTATATGATTTATATTAGGTGGGAAAATCAATAAAATTAAAAAAAAGGATGTATTGGAAACTAGACAGCTTACTTGACCGTTTTCATTATTGTATAAAAAATGCTGGTCAGGTGATTGATGTATTTGGTTATTTATAGTGAAACATTTTGCTTCGTCTGCCTTAAAAAAACAAACCGGGTCACCTCTTTTTATGTAAAATATATATAGTGTATGATAATATAATTTGAATACTTCTTCGCCATCGAAATGTTTATTCGCGATAGAATTTTAGTATTCATCTCATACGACAAGGTCGTCATCGTCGTTTTCATCAAAGTGGTCAGTTAAATTTCCTATTCTGAGCTAACACGGGAAATTGCCTATCTGTATACATACTATAGTATACCTTTCCGTACCTTTATTTAATACTCAAATGCACGCCTGAATTTCAATAGTCTACATAATTGATATTATATTTCATTTTCATTTTAATGCATTTAACGTACTAAACGTAATAACATATACATTTATATTTGTATGTGTTTGCTCGAGTGTAGACTTATTTACTGAACTCACTAATGTATATTATGGTAAAATTATTAATGATTCATCCTAAAGATTTTAAATTCGTCAAAATATTATAGTTTAAAATTGAAAAATTCAATAATTCATTTACACCATTAATTGGCCGGAGAACAAATTCAGGATTTCATAAGTTTTTGTGTAAACAATTCAAGTATAACAACATAAACTATTCTTAAAGACGGATAATCTATAATATCTATCTAATATTATATTTTGTAGCACTTCTTGTTGTATGATTTGTAAAATAAATAAAATAAAATTAACCAAAATAATAGTAAACATCTACTTAGAGCTTATATAACTAGACAAAGTAATCAATCAATTTAATATAACAGAAAATTAAATGTTCAGTTTTTGAATGTGACGTGAACTCTACCATATGAAAATCATAAACGTTTAAAAAATGTCCGTATTGCAGATATATAATGTAACCTAAACCACTTACAGTGATAAATTACAGTCTTGTGTTCGAGTAAAATATATTATTTTAATTTTACAAACATACTATCGTAAATCATACACAATAATTTTCAAATGCAAAATATGAACAGTTATATTAATTTAATTTGACTCTACTCCCATCAGCGATAGTTGCGTCTAAATAAAATACCATAGCTACTTGAATTTCATATACTTGTTATTTTCAAATATAATTAAAACCATGTTTATGTTTATTTTATCAATAACAACATTTAAACCGTATCATTCCATATATCCGATATTTGAGTTACAATATTTGTATTTTTAAAATAATTGATGGATAAAATATATAAATCGTTTTATAAATTCTATGATTAATATTATCTTATTTTCTTTAAGTAAACGTTCACAAATTACAGTATAAATGAATAGATTATTTACTTAAAAAATTATAATATAATTAAATCAAATATTATTTTATCCAAAAATGTTGTGACTGAATTTCATGAAAAAATTTATTTTAGCAATTAAATTTTACTTTATTACCCACATATGTTTTATACATAAAAACTAATATATTTGTAAATATTTTATATAAAATGTAGGATGTTTCAGTGAATTTGGTACAATTAAGAAAATTTTTAGCCAAATAAATTCTTGTTTATTTGCTTATGTCCACTTATATAATTTTAATTAATCATTAATTTATTTTTAGAAGAGATAATATAAAATATCAGCAACACTAATACACTCAATTATTATTATTCTATCAATTAGAAATTTAATTTTTTTTATAACATCTACTTCTATTTATTTATGCATAATATATTATGATTCCAACAACAAAGCACTCAAGTTTAAAATTCCAAGTGTTAAATATTAATATTAAGCCCAATATATTTCCACATATATACTGTGTATCCAAATATTATTTTCGTATTTTAATAACATGTATTTGATTGATTTTAGTTTTTTAACAAGCGTATTGAACCTTTTGCCATGGATCATGGCTTAGTGTTTCGCTCGTTTATGTACCTGTTCCGGTTGGTGCAACAACGACAAGATCTCCACTTCGTGCTCAAAGCTTCGTTTCTAGAAATTTACAATGAGAAAGTAATTTACCAAACAACAAAACACTACAAATGTTTATATTTTTTTGTCGAATAATTCAAAAATTTCTCGTACTTAAATCGATATAAAGTTCATTGAACTTAGATTTTATTGTTATTATTTTTTGTGGTTGGCTTATATGTAGAGTTTTACGTCAATATAATATATGCATACATGGTCTTTAATACGTTCAGTCATTGAACTTGTAAATTACCCGTCTCATACGGTCTTATTAACACTACCTATATAATAATATAACAAGTTCAATGACACGAAAAAATTTCAATACCATTTGTTAAACACTCAACTATTTAATAAATAATTGAATATTATTGAAAAAAAAAAACATTTTGGTACCTAGGTAATAGATTTATTGAATCCTGGCACTCACAGGAAACCCCTAGAAGTAAGATGGTCCCGGAAAGCTCGTAACTTCTATGTAGACAATCTATTTATGGTAGACTGTGAAGAGTTAGATGATCTACAAGCCGTATTGGAAGAAGGTATAATATACACAGTACAATACATACGTACATTTTATATAAAATGTAGGTACATATGGTCCTGTAATTATATTATTTAAAAATAAAAATGAATTTATTTTCATCAAATGCAATATACATTTTTAAATAAATTTCCGTAATATAAATATATGCATAAAATTAAATCAAAAATTTTAATTTTAATTCTCTTCAATTTTCTTTTCGCACATCGGTTTAGAACCAAAGGTATTTAAATTTATTAATTAAATTGAAAATAAATGTTGTTTGATAATAGGTATGAAAAACAGAACAGTCGGAAGTCATAATATGAACGAAAACTCCAGTAGAAGTCATACTATGTTGACAGTATATATTACGTCTGAACAACAGGTGAATAATTTTGTTGTATTAATTGAATAATTAAATTTCATATTTTTTTTTCATATATATATATATATCATTATAATGTTTATAATGATAAAAAATTATATGTTTAGTGTAAGGGTGATCTCACCAAATTATAAGAACGACTCATTTCGTGGTCTAAAATCAATACATCAATAACTTAAAAAAATGCAAAAAATTAATTTTTCACTATAATTTCTAAGCAATACTTGTAATTTTACGTTATAAATTAAAAATAAAATTAGTACATTCAAAATAAGCGTAGGCAGAAGAAAAATAATATATAAAATTGAATTTCTGTGCTTATTTATAAATATAAGTATACTATCTTAACCTATACTAAATGTCAATAATCACAAAAAAATCATCTGGAATATTTATTATGAGTTAATGAAATTGTAATTTGAAAATAAATAAGTCATTACATAATAATTCATTATGTTCCTCAATGTTTATAAGTCTTCTAATCTAAATCTCTTGGCTATCAATAAGAACTAAATTCTTCAAAAGCATCATTTAACAAGGAATTTTTAATATTATAAATAATCTCTAGATAAAATAAAATAAAGTATTAATAAGTTATGAAGAGCATACATATTTAAAAATATATTCCATACCTACTAATTTTAATTTTTGTAAACAATAATATATTTGTACCATTCGATTTATTATGTTATTTTTATAAATACCTTTTTTTTATCAAATACAAAATTAATAATTCGTGCACTTAATTTGTCTTAATTTTACGAGTTATAATTTGACTGATGTTATTTAATAGACTTACAGTTTAGTATCATATGTAATATGAATATTTGCTACTTTTACACTATTTGTATGTTTCACTATAGTACGAGTGATTAAAAAATAGTATTTTTTTTAAAAAAATTAAACGATTTTAGTGAATTCAATAATATAACACAAAAACTAATTATGGTCGTTGCTTCATATTTGCATTAACTGCTTATTTCAGATATCCGAAGATGGCGTTTTTATCACGAAACAAGGAAAAATTAATTTCGTAGACTTGGCTGGAAGTGAAATGACTAAGAAAACCATGAGTGAAGGGAAAACCCTAGAGGAAGCGAATAACATCAACAAAAGCTTAATGGTCTTAGGTAGTAAATATAAATATAATAAATTAAAAGACCATGAACATCTTTGGCTCAATTCGAAACCCGAATTATTTCGTTAGTTAATCCTATATTAAATGAAATCCATGCTTGGGGGGGTTTAAAGGTTCAATAACCATTTTCCCTTCCCGTGCAATATGTTTCTAGTTACTAGCTTTGAAATGCACATATATTGCTTTTTATCGTCGAAGCATGCCAATAATGAAATAAATTACAATCAATTGATTGTCTCAAAACAGTAACTATGTTGAAAATATTTTTATGTTACCCATTACTTGTTCAAAAACATTGTTAGGTATAATAAATATTAAAATACTGTAAAATTTTTATTTTTCATTAATTTTAATATACACCACTTTTTTACTTTTTTTGACATATAAAGAGGTTATGGCCTTGTTGTTTACTTTTCATGTATGTGTTATTCCTGTGTATATGTTATTTGTACGCATATAGATATATTAATAGCATTACCTATTTTTGATAATCACCTTGGTCTTCAGGTTTTCGATCAATATATGTCACTATATGGAATTATCGCTCGAGGTCGACCTTTTAGTAGCTTTTGAATAAATAATAAGGATATTTTCTTGGGGTCATCCTTTTATGTATACATATATATATATATATATATATATTCAAATATATATATACGTATAAAAAGCAAAAAAATAAGAATTGCCCTCACGATCGATGGTACCTTAACACTTAACCGCATGTATGGAGCTATGTCAGTGCACCACAAGATGTTAAATGGAAAAGTTAACCCCCGCCGCAATAGTGGTGGGGGAATTTGGTCATAAAAAAACAATATGTAATTTTTTTTTATCAAACCGCACTTTTCTCTCGACCAGGTTACTGCATTGCATCACTGAGTGATCCAAAGAAGCGAAAAGGTCACATCCCATACCGAGATAGTAAACTAACCAAACTCCTGTCAGACAGTATAGCTGGTACCGGTGTCACATTGATGGTAAGTTTTTCCCATGATTATTAAATCAATCTTTAAACCTGACATTTAATTACCATGATACTGAAAAATTAATTTATAAATAATATAAATTTAAATAATAAACTATATATAGTTTTTATAGTAAAATTAAAAATGTTAGTGTTATTTATTTATTTTGTTATACAATATGGTTTTTTACAGTATCAAATGCATTTTTTTTTTTTTACCGAAATATTCATTATTTAATTTCGTAGCCGATTCACTTTACTTTTGAGTAATCAAAATGATAAAATATTTGATGAATTCTATATAATAAAATTATAAATAAATTTAATCGAAAATAATTATAAAAATATATATAAATTGCGATTTTATTGATTTTTTATATATCTGACGATGAGTGTTTACCGGTCGTACTTCACAAATATAATAATATCCCAGGCTAAGTATTTATTTATTTATTTCTCTATATATACTATTTATAAATAAATCCTATATGCTTTATGTGATTTACAACATATGTTTGATTTAACAGATAGCATGTATATCACCAGCAAGATCGAATGCTAGTGAAACAATCAGTACATTGAGGTATGCAGCTCGGGCAAAAAAAATCAAAACTAAACCAGTGATTGTTATGGTAAAAATCGATATTAATAAATTACACGCTTTAATGCACAGTAATGAACCCGAAATTCATTCATTGTTCCATTTATCCGACCTCGATAATTATGAAAATATTTTAATATTTCTTTTCAAGATAAATCATTTAAAGTCATATTATACAACATGCTATAACTGGTGTTTCAACATTTTAACAAATATTTGTTTTCAATATATTTTATTGTGCTTTCAAGTAAATGTAACTAACTAGAGTACATATAATTGATAATCAATTGAACATTAAATAATAATACGTTGTATTATATTATAACATTTTTTCTAAAAATATATCAAATTTAAAGAAATATGATATTATAAAGTGTATTGAATGTCTATACAAATTTTTTTTTCTATATAAAGCAGATTTTGAAAAAATATAATGTATCAACATTGAAAGAATCTATTATGTTTCAAAAACATGTGGGTGTAAATGATAAATAATTAATCATTGTTGCTTTTTTTCATATATCATTTACGTCAAACATCTTAAATATTATTAGTCGGTGAGGAAGTGCATTTATACAAGACTTAAATGACACAAAATTATTATTTTTCTCGTACAAAATGAAATAATAAATGTCATCATCCGAAATTGATCATTATTGTTTTGTCCAACTCGTTTAAAAATACATTTGGAGGACCTTTAGAACGACATGAAAAATTTGTGGAAATTATCACTCTTCAATGTGTAAGATATAGTTAAATGTTTTTATAATCAACGAATTTCTTAAGCTTTTTAATTGTATTAAGAATATTAGGTTCGAAATTATTTATAATAATTTTTATTATAAATTACGGCACATCAATAAGTGCTTAGTTGCAATATTTCTAATGATATTCGTTTTCCCTACGATCGCGATTTAAATAATAAATAATCATCATAAAAAAAAAACAACTGGATAAAAATAAACAATGCAAATTAAAATCAACACAAATTGAATTGTTAAACATGAATAAAATTGTTTATTTTATTCTGCACGTATATACAGTGTATATGTAGAGTGTAAGCTATATCGTAAATTATTAATATATCATGACAAATTACTTTTATGACACCCGCCATTTAAGTACTCGTTGTTGTGATATATGGCATTTGCATATATCCACACTTCGTTTAAATATACGCAAGGCGTGTGTTTAACATAGGCATTAGAATTAATCGAAGTATCAACCACCGTTTTTTGTATTACATGCTTACAACAATTGTTTTGCTGTTTATAAATAATAATTTTATTCAATTCCCGTGCTTGAAATATTTTTTTATATTTTGTAATAGTAATATCATTACCATTTAAAAATTATCATATTATTTTTAAATTTAAATAAATTACTTTTTATTTAATATTGTGAATCATTGCATCGATTTTTTTTCTTGAGTCTTAATTTCAAAATTATATTTTTTTTATTGAAATATATCTCATTTTAGAATATAAATATCTAAAATAAATTTAAATAAACATTTTCATGTGTAGATAAAATAATATTTTATAAAAGTTTTATTAACTCCAAAATAACGTACGAAAATACATTTTTTATGTTGCATCTATGTTGAATTGAAATAATTGATCAACGCTTATGTATTCTTAAATTTTTTTGTTAAACTTATCACGGTCTATAAACAATGTGTACTTTTTTATGAATATTCATTTTTATAGAAAAATAATTCGAACTCCGACATTAAAGGTACCATAAAAATACTATTATCTAACGTAAATAATTTTACGTATTTATTTTGTTTGTGAGAATTATTGTAATACATTTTAATTATATTATATCATTATAAAAATCTTTAGTCTAACTTTATCTTTATACAAGCTCAACGTATTGAAAACTTAACTAACTTAATCAAAAATGATGCTTCATTAAAAAATAAAACCCATAAATTAAAAACAAGTTTAAAATATGTTTCTTATTATTCTAAAATACTTTCCTTATTTTACATTATTATTATAAATGTAATTATTCTTGTTTGATTATTACTAATGAACACCTGGGTATAAATGAAGTGCATCATATATACCATATATCTAAAATGGATAAAAGTAATAATAAATGTAATGCCATTGTATATTAAATATATAACTATAAAAATTAATTAACATGAAATATAGGAAAAGAAAATTATATAATTTTACTCCTAATATAACATATCAAATATTTGTATACAGCTGAATCGAATCAACTTGTCTACATTACTACCTACGGATATGAAAAGAAAACAAGTTTTACTTAAGTTGTACTTAAGGAGATAATATACGTTAATGATTTATAAAACCGGTTGTAATATATAAAAAATAAATATCAAAAAATATTAATTTCAAATCTCAAACATTTCTCATCCTCAGAATATTTGAAGTTTAAAAGTTTAATCCGAATACGTCAGTGAATCTTGTAAATTTAATTAAAAATAAAATAATTTTACAACGTTTTATTGGCATATTGGAAATGTTCAATTTTAAACTGTGCATATTATTGAACGTAATCACATCCTTAATAGTTTAACCTGTATAAAATTGGTTTAAAAATGATCCAACTTTTTTTTGTTTAATAAATAACTCGAAAATCAATTTTTCTTGGTAAAAACACCATAATTCAATGTATTTTAATAAACGTACTTGTCAACAACTTCTTAAAATTTTAACTTAAAAGATAAATGTATTACACCTTATTTATAAAGTATAAAACTTTTGTAATTAACAAAAAAATAAAATAAATTTATCTTCTTTCCCGCTGGTACGTTGAGATCATTTTCACATGCTTACATGCATATACACAGTATTCGAAAAATGTATAGTACTTGTCATACTTTAAGCACTAAACAAATACTTAATGACATCAAATTATTATTTCGAAATACATCAGTAATGTAAAAAAAATTGTATTAAAAAAAAAAAAAAAAAAAGAATTTGAGTATACTACAATGATTATCAAGTATTCAATGGTTGTCATTATAAACTACCCTCTTCACGTGCATTACAGGATCCTCGAGAGGCATTGATCGTCAGCTTGCGACGAGAAGTGGAGGCCTTGCAGAATGAAAACGATCATTTGCGGAATGCACTGGATATTAACAAAACATCATCGGCCAGTATAACGAGTAAGTGCTATGTGTGATACCTATTATATAACATATTTTGTATTTAACGAATGTAAAAATTATTTTTTCGGAAATATCTACCAAATACGGAATTACTTATATTATCATTAGACGGGTTTTTGAGAAATTACGTAACGATGATCTAAATCTAAAGTTAAGTCCACTATGGTTAAAATAAATTAATTTCATCATTTTTAATTTAAAATTTCATAAATCATTTGCACTTGAAGACATTTAAAGTTCTACGATTCTAAGATTAACTAATTATCTAATCACATAAAATACTAAAACTTATTTTCTGATATTATTAATATCGTATCTCAAACAACATTTTCCAAATAAAGTTAAAAATGAAAGAAATTTAGATAAAATACACAAGTGTAAGCTTTAACTGTTAATAAAAAACGGAAAAAAATATTTTTGACAAGTACTATATTTTTCGCCCATTAAATAAATTAAATGCAAATATATTTATATTTAACATCTTACTTCAATTTCTTCTTATTACTATTATTATTATTACATATGTACAATGTTTACGATTTTAGATGTTGTTTTTAGTTGGACATTGCATCTTTTTGCGTATAAAACACTGTTGTCAAAATCACCTTTTAAGTTTCACTTATATTGTATTCTTTGTAAATCATAACGCCAAATATATCATTCACATTAATAGGAAAATTATACAATATTCGACGTTAATCCCACAATCAATGAATTTTTTTTTCAAAACTTTTTATTTTTTTGATTAACTAATTTTTCACCAGATAGTTTTGAAGCGGTCATTTTTTTTCTTTTTTTGAGTGTCGTAATTAAAAATCTATCGTTTTCAATTTCACAGTCGTTAACAATATTTGAAAAATCGATTAGTATAATGCCAGATTATATAAATACTAATAACAATAATAGTTAAGCTAAACAGTAAAAAAAAACCCGATCTGACCGCTACTTTTATTAAATCTCATATAGATGTAAAAATGCCACCTAACATGGACATGGATCGGTTAATACAAATGGACCCCAAGGAGCTCGTGGATCTGGTTAAACATTACGCGAATGAAAACGAGGCTTTGCGCAGAGAAAACGCCGAGCTGTTTAACTCCAGGGACCTATTACAGAGGGACCACGAAATTGTGTGCCGGGAAAACGAACGATTACTGAAGAAACTCGAAGACGTCAACTCGTAAATACTCAAAAAAAAAAAAAATAACCGATTTTATGGTTTTGTTTCTATTTTTTTTCTCTTCTTTTTGTTTCGTGACAATAAAACGTTGTGTGCGTGTCTCTTGCTTGATTAATTTTTGTAACTGTTATATCTTCACCACGAGTATGTTGTTTTTTCTTCTGTTTCTTTAGCACAGCTTTATTGAACTAATGTCTTTGTTTTTAACTTATTCAGGCCATATCTTGGACTCTTGGTAAGTGAATAATAAACGATTGAGTTTTTGATCAAAAACGAAATCGAAATTAAATTTCTATAGAAAGGTAATGAAATTATTTCGAAAACGGACACAGCTATATTTGAAGAATATTGATGTTAGATATACTATATCTAACTCAGAATTTAAAAAGTGGTAACGAATAGTGGTTAACATTTATTAGTTACATCAGTGGCACACACAGGATTTTTTTTTTTTTTTTGTGGGGGATCAAGGTAAAAATATAACACATTTTACAATTATAAAAATTATGCAAATCCTTAATATATTTTGACTTAAATAATAGCATTGATAATAGAATAGACTATTCTATAATCAAAGATACTAGGTATTCAATACTAGCTCTTCATATTTCATATGAAATATGAAAGTATATGGAAGTAAGAGAGATGGGTATTTGTTAAGTGAATTAGTCTATAACGGCATTCAAAATGCATAGCGTAGAAATAACAAGCTTTTTTTTGTGAAAATTGTTCCATAAATCAGAGGGCGATTACGTTACCTAACTATATAAATCTGTATGATAACCTCAGTAAGTAGGAGGAAAATGAAACTTCTAATCATATAATGTCGACAGTTTAACTACCATGCAATATAATTATTTTACAAAGCAATAATTTGAATATTTTAGTACCAAATACAGTCACTTAATCATGTCCATGTTTCATATTGTTGTAAATTAAAAATATCTTTAGCCAATAACATTATACCAGATGAAATATTGAACACATTTTCTAATATCAATAGGAAATTATGTTTGACACTTTTCATTTTAATATAATAAAATACTGTAATATGTGCAAGTATTAAAATAAAAGGAAGTAGACATAAATAATATTGTCAACAGCTTTATTTATCCATAAACTATTTGTTTTTGTATTCTTAAAATAATTAATGAACAAAACGTTACATAACAATAAAATAAATCTCTAAATGTTAACTGCTAAATCTCATATTTTTTGTTTTTTAATTTCAACGATTAACAATCAAAATATATTTACTTTTTTCTTTGTTTTTTTAATAAAATATAAAATCTAGACTATATACATAATGAGAAAATGGAATATAATATTATTATGATTAATATGATAAATATCAGAGGAGATCCAAGCTATCCAAGTAAGTTATTGGATCCTCTATGACAGAGTTTTATTTATTAATTTTCTTTATTATTTATATTAATTACTTTTAGTTATTATTAAATAATTAATGTGACAAAAATATACGCACTAAACGTTTATCGTAAATTATCTAACTTGCGTAGTTAGAACGAAATCAATAACCGTGATACACAAACGATTATTCTCGAACCCTGAAAAGCATAAAAAATAAAATTGTTTTGAAAGATCAAATTTAGATTTTATGTAATATCCTAACAACATACACGCAAATTTTTATCACAATTCACGGCTTCAATGGTGTGCAAAACAGCTACTCACTGTGTTACTTCAACTTTAAAATAAAAATATTTCAGGGCATGTATCAGGTCTCCGATAATTCCAGCACGTGGCCAATATGCAGATAAAGGGGAAACGAATTCAACGAGTACGACTAGTTCGCTGGGAACAATAAATGACCAAATGGTAAATTTTATCAGATTTTAACGTTTTTATTTAATACAACATTCCAACAAAATAACTGTCACTATTTGAATGAATTTATTTTCAGTACTTTACTCTGTAGTTAACTATATTAATATTTTATATTTAAAGCTTTACGCAGAAAATAAATAATATTAAAAAATAATAAAATATTTATTGAAATAATAACATACTCGTAATATAACATCAACTAAAATGTTTTAACCGTACTTTTATACTTTGGAATCGTCATCAAGCTTAAGTAAAAATTAAAATGTCCCAAGTATTTATGGACAAATATTAAAAATATAAATAAATATATTAAAAAAATAAATATATATATATATTCTACATTTAAAATATCATTGATACCGTATTATATACTACGAAGTATAGTTGGTTTTCCCTTCAATTGTTATTTTTAAACTATATCTGCGTGTATTTATTTTATTGTTATTGTAGATACGTAGTACAAGATTTATGATTTATATGATTTTTAAATGGGAATATATATCAAAGGTTAAAGCTTATATTACTTTACAGCATCTCTTGGGTATACGAGATATGAGTTAAAATAAACGTTTGATCTTACAATATTGAAAAGCTATAAGTTTATTTATTATTTTCAATACCTATATGAGTACTCAATTTATTACTTTAAAAACTCAATGGATTAAAAATATAAAAAAAAAAAATGATAAAGTAAAATTGTATTAATTTCTATAAATTTATTATAAAAAAGATCCTAACCAACAATGTTTCTAAAAAAAAAAAAAAAATGTTTCTTCCCAATTCTAAATTCTCTGAAAATCAATACGTGCACATAAATTTGAAAATGAAAATCCTTTGAAACATTATATCATTCTGCTTTTTATTTTGAACTAGCTACTCATTAATTACTACATAAAAAATTTTTACTTGAAATATTTAATATTGATAATAATTATTAAGTATTTTAAATATTAAATCTTGGTGTAATTATAAAAAAAAAAAAAAAAACATAAACAAGTACATAATATCTTTATTACGTACAAAAAGAAAAAAAATTATTCCAACACCATCTTATGAACAATAAACAGATAACATGCAAAATAACCGTTGTAACTAAATAGTACATTTATAATACATAAGGGATATTCTGTTACGTATATTACTGACCAACGTATAGAATATAGAAGTTGTTTCCTTTTACCGATTACTATTACAATGAAAAACAAGTGGTTCCCACTGGTGTGGAAAATATATTTAGCAATACTAATACTATTGTACGGTCGTACGTTTAATTCCGATGTCCACAGGTTGCTCGTGTTATGCATAAAGATACTCTTGAATAAATCGAAATTACTTTTTACAGTCAAATATATATTATTATGAACGGATCTTTATGTCCAATTGATATTTTCCGCAGAACATATTATATTAAGTTTAAATATATATACATATATATATATATATATATATATATTCAGTTAGGAATGGTTTAGGAATAAGGTCATGTTCGTTTGTACCCAAACCAAAACATTTTACGATCTAACGTATTTTTCCTGGATCAAATCTCTAAAGTCTCTTTGTGTAATTGGAATTCGTCAATCGGGCCCAGCAGAGCATAAACGTTTAGACTGTTTCCACCAACCACGCGTATTTATTTGGTTTGAACAACTTCACGTCGGATAAATATTACAACATATATATTTAGATAAGATAATACCTAGAACTATGATAAACTATGACTGTTAGAAACTGCGTTAAATAATATTTTCTTTTCTTTATATCCTCCGGAGTTAACATAAGTATAGAACTCACAATTAAATCGTTAATTCAGCAAAAAGTAGTTGTTGACAAATTTGATAAGACATATTAAGCAATGGCTATTCATCGTGTTCGATCTCACACATAGTGTCAGTGAAAAATCATACAAACAACGGTAAAAGTGTATTTATTACGCGACTGCAACGATACAGAATGAAATGAGTCCAAACTGCATTGTCATGAACAATATAATAACGCGGCATTCGATCATATATAACACGAACATAATGGTTGATTCCGGAATGAGTTCTATTGGGGAAACTGTCATCGTCAGGTCAACATTTTAGTTTATCTCTGTTGCGGTTACACAACTGAGGTAACTAGTGCAAATGGCAGCTTCGATGTTTTGTACTTCTGCAATCTCAGTCGCGTTTTTTAAACTTGCGTCATGTCATAGTGACCCTTGGAAAATGAAACGATTTTTTGTGTTAAATTACCATTACCATTACGAATTGACAAATTAAAAACTTCTGGGATATTGTTATAAACAAAACTTCCGTGAAACATACATATATATATAAACGACTAACAGTCAACAAGAATCTAAAACTATCAGACACTTAAACGTATAATTTTCAAATACCAATAATGTAAGTCGACTTTCGGTATTTAAATTTTTTATATGAAGTGCTCAATTGTCCATTAATAATTAGTCACATAGAAAATCGTGAGTGCTAAAAATAAATATCATAAAAACTCTTGATATTACTGTATGAGCAGTGAATATTATTTTTACCTAAGTACTTGATATTAACAAAATAATTATCAATTCTATAACTATGCAACTTTTTCTTAAAGTACTGTTCCATCCATTATTGTTCAGTAATAACTTTTACCATTGTAACTCGAATGTTTATATTAATCATGCAATGAAAGCAAACTTAAGATCAATAAGATTACAACATTTTGAGATATTTACACAAACTAACCAAAAACTTTATAATATAATATATTAATATATTATAGTATTTAATTAATTTGAAAAACTTTTTATTAAAAACATAGTTTAAATTTATTCGTGATGCTATTGAAAACCAATTCTTATTTTTATTATTATTATTATTTTTTTAATTAAAATAACGTTATCGGAAACAACACCCTACCATAAATATTGGGCCTACCTACGAGTTTTTCTCAGTGAGGCCCAGTAATCATTTCAATGTTAATATCAAATTGAAATAAAATAAAAAATACATTAATACCTGTTTTTAATTTCTAATAACTGTTTTAATTTGTTATTTATTACTTTCGTTAAATTCAAAAGTTGTAAAAGTTACAAAAAAATCTAGATAAAAGTTTTATATACAATAATATTTTATGAAATTTATATACATATGATTTCTGAAACTTATATGGAATAGACAAACCAATATAATTGTGTCTCAAAAACAAAAAAAAACTCATCATTTACATTAGTAAATAAAAAAGAGAGAAATAATAAAGTATAAATTATAAGTTCTAGATAAAATCATAACAAAATCTATTTTACAAACAATAATAAAATGATAATAAAAAATAAAAATAACAGAAAAAAAGTCACCACAACTACCACAAAATAAAAGTTACCTGAAATCATTTGAACGCAATTAATTTAATAATCTTTAAATGTACTTATATTTTTTATAATAATTAAATCAATGCATTTAAGTAAAACATTACATTTAATGCAATAAGATATATTAAATAAACTGGTCGTTAAATGTCAAAGTAGGTGAATTCAAAAATAATACTTTTTCAATAAGATTTAATTAAAATGTATGGAAACATTACATACATTTAGATAAGTGCATATTATAATAAACCCCATATTACAATATTTCATACGTAAATAGGCATTTTTTAATAAGTATTAAATTATAGTTTTTTAGTCTATCATGTCATATCAGAGAACTTAGTTGCACACCTAATATCATATCATGGCATTTGTTTGTTAAAATTACTATTTGTTTTTAGACCCATAAAATATTATTTGTGAATTATTGTAATAATTGGTTTTCAATAAAATATTTAATATTTTTTACAGCGAATACAATTGTTATCCATATAATGTTAAATAACATAATGAGTACCTAATAATAAGTTGTAATTCCGTACCAAGCGGAAATTTGTAATTTTTTTTATACCTACTAAACAAAATTCAAAGAGTTATTGCTTGATACAATAAAACTTAAGAAACTCGAATAGCAATACAATATATCATTATGATTTTCAAAATAAATAACTTTTACATTTATATATTCCAATACGCATCTACACTAAGTAATAAAATGTTTCCATTGTTAAACTTTAATCCAAGACCACTTTCGTGTGGTTTCTAATGTAACTATTTAGATACACTTTATGAAATACACAATGTAATATTTTATCAGACGTTCGGACTTATTCAGAGGGCAGTTTTACACTTATAGCTAATATTTTAAAACACTGTTCATTGTAATAAAATATTATACTCGTATGAATAATTGCCTTGTAAATGTTTTTATTTTATTATTAATATTGTCAGACGACAAATGAGCATATGTTTACCAAATTAAGTTACTCGAACTTTTCATGTCAAGCAATATTAATATAAAACCATAAATCCACTAATATTATTTACGTTAAGCTGTAAGTGAATATGAAATAAGTTGATTTTCATAAAAATATGTCTTCGATTATATTCTATGTATATATTTGAAACGTCAAATTTATTAAGATTCAGCTGCCAGACCTTGTACATATTCCTACGATTCATCCAGTGAACATTCACGAGTGGATGGTAATTGCGTTAATCAATATTTTGTCCATACCCTAGAATCTTAGGCCTTTTTTCTGATAATTTATGATTTTAAACATCCATTATTATTTGTGTATGAAAAACCTATTATGAAATAAGGTACTATTCTATAACTATATTAGAATATTATTTATAATATACAATTAGTTACCTATATTCTATAACTAATATTAGATAACATTAAAGGTTTTGTATAAAATGATGACCTACGAATTCCTATTACACTTCTAAAGTACAACAATACTTGAAATCCAAATAAAATTTACTCAATTAAATAACCCATTGCGATTTTTAAATTATTACATAATTTACACGTTTGATTTATTAACGAGCGACTACATTTATACATTTGAACGCTAAACACTTGATTAACAATAGTATAAACTTTAGTTGTAAATCATTAATCTTCGTCGTTACC